GGTGCTCTTTAGATTCTTTTAGAGATTTGTTTGTTTCTTGAATTTTTTCCCCTGTTTCATGGATTTTTTTGTTTGTGTTTTCTTCTATTTCTTAAAGGGATTTCCTCGTTTCTTCTTTGAGGGTCTCTAACATCTTCATGTAATAATTTTTAAGGTCTTTCTCCTCTGCTTCGTCTACGTAGTGCTTTTTGGGTATGCTGGTGTTGGGTCCTGAGGTTCTGGTGGAGTCATGTTGTTCTTTCTATTGCTGAGTGAGCTCTTATTCTGTCTTCTTCCCATCTCTTCTTCCAGTGGGTGCTGGTGTGGTCTTTCCATCTCCACTGCTCTCCTTCCTTCCTGAAGCTGAAGCTGGGGATGCTGACACTGAAGCTTAAGGTGAAGCTGGGGTTGCTGGAGGTTGGGGCCTGGAAGGGCTGATGTCTTTCCTGAACTTGGGCTCGCCGGGGCTTGGGGCTTGCAAGGACTGAAGCTGGGCTCCCCGGGGCATGGAGCCTGGAAGGGCTGATGTCTTTCCTGTGTGGGTGGGTCTTCTGGATGCCAGAAGCGGCCCTGGAAGATCCAGGGGATGTGTGTTGGGCCGGGGTTCAGGGGTGTCCCTGGCGGAGGCCCAATCTCACCTGAAGCTGAGCTCGCTGGCGTTTGGGGCCTGGAAGGGCTGATGTTTTTCCTGTGTGGGCAGGTCTTCTGTATGCCAGGAGCAGCCCCGGAAGATCGAGGGGATGGGTGTTGGGCAGGGGATCGGGGGTGTCCCCACCAGAGACCCAATCTTACCTGAAGCTGGGCTCGCCGGGCTATTCCAAGTTTTTTGTACCTGTTGATGCTTGGTATTTTGGAAAGTGTGGTATATTCTTTTGTGTTTGGATGGAGTGTTCTATAGATGTCTGTTAAACCCAATTGGGTCATAACATCTATTATGTCCTTTGTGTCCTTGTTAAGTTTCTGTCTTATGGTCCTGCCTAGTGGTGAGAGTGGGGGGTTGAAATCTCCCACTACAAGTGTGTGAGGTTTTATATGTGCTTTGAGTTTTAGTAATTTTTTTAATGAACATGGATGGCCTTGTATTTTGGGCATAGATGTTCAGAACTGAGATTTCATCTTGGTGGATTTCTCCTGTAATGAGTATAAAGTGTCCTCCTTCATCTCTTTTGATTGATTTTAGTTTAATGTCCAATTTGTTAGATATTAGAATTGCTACCCCTGCTTCTTTCTTGGGTCCATTTGATTGGAAAATCCCTTCCCATACCTTAACTCTGAAATAATGTCTGTCTTTGAAGCTGAGGTATGTTTCCTGTATGCATCAGAAGGATGGATTCTGTTTTCAAATCCATTCTGTTAACCTGTGTCTTTTTATGGGTGAGTTTAGACCATTAATATTGAGGGAAATTAATGACCATTGATTGTTCATTCTTGTTTGTTTTGGAATGGTTGGTGGTGGAATTGTATGTGGAGTTCCACCACTTTTTCTTTCGCCTGTTGGTAAAGTGGGATTATCTATTGCCTATGTTTTTCTGTTGTAGTTAGCTTCCTTGGATTGCAGTTTTCCTTTCAGAATTTTCTGTAGGGTTGGATTAGTGATTATGTATTGTTTAAATCTGGTTTTGTCATGAAATATCTTGTTTTCTCCATCTATATTGATTGAAAGCTCTGCTGGGTATAGCAGTCTTGGCTGGCATCTGTGGTCTCTTAATGTTGGTAGTGTCCAGGACCTTCTGGCTTTCATAGTTTCCATGGAGAAGTCAGGTGTAATTCTGATAGGTTTGACTTTATATGTAACTTGGCCTTTTCCCCTAGCTGCTCTTAATATTCTTTCTTTATTCTGTGTGTTTGGGGTCTTGATTATTATGTGTTGAGGGTTTTTTTGGGGTCCATTCTATTTGGTGTTCTGTAAGCTTCTTGCACCTTCATTGGCATGTCTTTCTTTAGGTTGGAGAAGTTTTCTTCTATTATTTTGTTGAATTTGTTTTCTGGCCCTTTGAGGTGGGTTTCTTCACCTTCTTCTATACCTATTATTTTTATGTTTGCTCTTTTCATGGTGTCCCATATTTCCTGGATATTTTGTGTTAGGGATTTGTTGGGCTGAAAGTTTTCTTTGGTTGATGAATCTAATTCTCCTAGTGTATCTTCAACACCTGGGATTCTCTCTTCCATCTCTTGTGTTCTGTTGGTTATGCTTGCATGAGTAGTTCCTGGCCATTTTCCAGTTTTTCTATTTCTAGCATTCCTTCAGAATGTGTTTTTTATTGTTTATATTTCACATTTCAGCCATTGCACTGTTTCAATTGTTTCTTGCAATTTTTGCTTTGTCTTTTGCTCCATTTCTTGCATTTTTTGGATTGTTTTTTCTTCTATCTCTTTAGGGGATTTTCTCATATCCTCTTTGAGGGCCTCTATCATTTCCATGAAGTTGTTTTTTGTTTTTTGTGTCATTCTCTTCTGGTTCATTTGTGTTGGGGTGTTCCAGTCTTTTTTGTGTAGGGTCTCTGGACTCTGGCAGTGTTATATTTGTTTTTCTATTGCTCCTTGTGTTTTTACATTGTCTCCTTCCCATCTGTTCTTGCAGTGGGTTCCAGAGGGTGCCTCTTCCTTTCCTGATGGGTGTGGGACCGGGGTTCCCTTCTGGTGGGTGTAGGCAAGTTCACTGTTGTGGTAGCTCTCCACTTCCTGGTCTCGTGGGTAGAGAAATGGACTAAGATGCTGGGGTGATTTGGATCCCACTGGGGTAGATTGGAGCCCCAGTGGTATACCCCAGGCACAGGAGTGTGGCCTGGAGACAGGCTCTGATAGTCTTATTCATATGCCTGGAGCAGAAGACTAGGGTGCTGGGGTGAGTTTGTTCCTGCCCCTGGGTTGGACACTGCAGTGGCAGTCCCCAAGCACCTGCAGCCAGTTCAGTCCTAGTTTTGTGGGTGTACCAGGAAACTATGGCCACTGGCAGCTTCTCGGGGATGGAAGCTTCAGTGGCAGAGCTTAGGTCCAGGCAAGTGGTCCGGAAATAGGACCTGGCTTAACTGTTCCCGTGGGTGGAGCAGGAGACTAGAGTGCCTTGGTTCCCAACACTGGGATGGAAACCGCAGTGGTAGACTTCAAGCACAGCCACCTGGCTTAGTCCCATTGGTAGAGCCGGAGATTAGGCCACTGGGGTGCCTTGCCTCCTGCCTCTGGGATCGAAGCCCCCATGGCTGCCCCCAAGCACCTGTAGGCTGCCCGGAAATGGGTCCTGGTTTACTTGGACCTGAGGGTGGAGCAGGAGACTATGGTGCATTGGTTCCTGCCACTGGGATGGAAGATGCAGTGGTAGACCCCAAGCACAGGCTGCTGGTCTAGTCCCAGTTCCGTGGATGGAGCAGGAAACTAAGGCTCCTGCCGCTTCCGACCGGATGGAAACCTCAGTGGCAGAGCCCAGGTTCCAGGCAGGCAGTCGGGAAGTGGGAACTGGTTTACCTGGTCCAGTGGGTGGAGCAGGAGACTATGGTGTGTTGGTTCCTGTCGCTGTGATGGAAGATGCAGCGGTAGACCCTAAGCACAGGCAGCCAGTCTAGTCCTAGTTCCGTGGGTGGAGCAGGAAACTATAGTACCTTGGCTCCTGCCGCCTCCGCTGGGATAGAAGCCTCAGTGGCCTTTTAAAATATTTTAAATGCCATATTCTGTAGGTCTTTGAGGTATCTGAAGAATACCTATCCAACTGAAATGTATGTCTGCATATTTATAAAATCTAACTAACATGATTATGAGTTTGAATATTATAGATGCCTATCAAATAATCTGTATTTATTAATAAATTACATTTTTCAATGAGCTGCCTAAACATAATACCTTAAATAAGAGTAGGAATTATATATAAATATATGTATATATGAATGTATGTACATATATATATATATAGAGAGAGATAGAGATAGAAAGTATAACAAAACTGACCTTAAATTTGTATCAATACACCAAAGTCCATCCCAATGTAAAGTACTTATTTTTATATTATATCCCTTATTTCTTTAGAAAGAGATTTACCATTATCCATTTACCAACCACCCTTAAATTAAGACCAACATTTATAAACAATATAAGGGTATGTGGGTATAGTTTTGTAGACCATTTCCTCCTGATCAGAGATATTGCTGATCTTATGGGGTTCCTGAGAAAATTTAGAATTCCTTCACATCCCGACTGGGGTAGCTTGTGTGTTTCATCATCTAATTGTATACTCCTGAAGCTTCTGTCGATGTTATATCACCCAGGCCACCATTTTAGGGGGTCTTGTTTCATCAAATCATATTAGCCCAGACGTAATCCACAGCTTTTCATCTTAGTGGAAACCAAAGCAGAACATCTTTTATTAAGCAATATATCTTTAATCCCAAATTTTGAAGTCAAGATACATTTAAAATATATATGTTGGTTTAGCTTAGCAGCCGCCACAATCAAATATCTCTCCACAGTTAGCTCATGAAAAGTACAAAATTCAAACAAAACATAATAGTATACATAATCCAGACTCTGTGTATTTTACATCTTTACATGGCCCATTATAATTTTTACACCATTTGTCCTTTAAGGATCTCAGTTTATTATCTTTAGATTGTATTTGTCTTGGTCTATCTTATATAATCTTTTTTTCCAGCCCTTGCACATTTATCAAATAAAATGTGACCCATTTAGAGCACTTTTTGTCTGTTTTTATTGTGTATCTATAATCCTTTTTGACAAGGAGAGTTTTATAAGCATGCTAAGCCGACATGACTAGATCTGAAGCTGTGGCTTTTGCAGCTGGCCTCTCCCTGTTTGGCTCTCCAACATGAAGGTGGGCTGTTTACCACAGCTCTGGGATCCCCACCTCGAGGGACATAGCAAGTCCATGATACCATCAAACAGCTTGCTGCATTCAAACCTACTCAAGAATTACAGGCAAATTATTAAATCTGGTAATGGAAGAAGTGGCCATCCCTAGGGAAGGAACCATAGATACTTTCAGTGCAATCTAAAATTTCAAAATTATGAAGAGTTCAATAACGCAACTTATCCATGTACTTTTGAAGAGAATTCGAATATGGTCTTATCAAAATAACATAACACTTTGGGGCAAAGATACACCCTAACAGTCCTGCACTGGAGGCCAAGATGGAGAAGACCTCCACAGCCACCATGACCTTTCCCTTTGTGCTGTGGTAGACAGGGAGGAAGGTGACCCAGACACTGCAGAACACCAGCATGCTGAAGGTCAGGAATTTGGCTTCATTGAATTTATCAGGAAGATTCCTGGCCAAGAAAGCCACAGTGAAGCTCCCCAAAGCCAAGGAGCCCAAGTATCCCAGAACAAAATGGAATGCAATGACGGAGCCTTTGTGACACATGATGATGATTTGCCCTTGCTCAGAGTGTGTATCTGTGTCAATAAAGGGGGGTGATGTTGCCAGCCAGATTCCACAGAGAATAACTTGGACCAGGACACAGATGGGAATGACAAAGTTAGTTGCCCCTGATAACAGCATCCCTCTCATCCTTCTTCCTGGAGTAGTGAGCTTGAAGGCCAGGACCACAGTAATTGTTTTGGCCAAGACAGTAGACACAGCCACTGTGAAAAAGACTCCAAATGTGGTCTGCTGCAGGATGCAGGTGACTATGTTGGGATGCCCAATGAAGAGCAATGAACAGAGGAAACAGAAGGTGATTGAAATCAGTAAGATGTAGCTGAGAATACGGTTATTGGCCTTCACAATGGGAGTGTCATTGTACTTCACAAAAGCCACAAGAACAAGAGCTGTGAGGGCAGAGAAGCACACGGACATGCAGGCCAGAGTCATCCCCAGTGGGTCCCCATAAGCTAGAAAGGACACGTGTCTTTGTAGGCACAGTGTGTGCTCTGCATTTGAATACTGGTCATTTGGACAGCTCACACACTGATCCATATCTGTAGAAGGACATAAACAACAAATCCATAAAGTTTAATCATTATATAATTAATCACTTAGTATCTGTATTAATCAGAAGATGCCTGGGTAACCATTTTGCTGTTCATTGACAATATTGTTATCTGTTGCTTCAGGTAGCAGTGATGGCAGGTGGCTCTGAAGCAGTTTATCCTGTGTGATGGAGCACACCACCTCATGAAAGAGGGAGCTGAGAAGTTTCTTATTCTTTTTTACCAACTTCCATATTCATCGAAGTTTTTAAAAATAAGAAAAATTCTTAGATTCTTGGGATTTATAACTGGTAACAAAACAGATCAGAACATATTTCTCAAAATTTATCTTTATTATCTACAGATGTGTGGGCTGTGATTGTGTGGTTTTTTAATATGAGAGTTACTCACATATAGTCATAGATTGTAGTGCTTTGTCATTAAGGAGAGGCACAATATGAAAAGAGTAAAATATATGTTCTTATTAGAATAGATGGGGCCTTGTTGGAGAAGTGTGTCACTAAGGATAGGCTTCGATTTTTCAAAGGCTCAAGCCAACCCCAGTGTCTCTATCTTCTTGCTGCCTTAGGATCTGGATGTAGAACACTCACATACTTCTCCAGAACCATACATGCCTGTGTGCTGTCATGCTCCCTATATCTTGATCAAGGAATAAACCTCTCAAGTGGTAAGCAAGCCCCAAATAAATGCTTTGTTTTATAAGTGTTGGCATGGTTGTGGTGTTTCTTCATTGAAATATAACTCACACTAAGACAAAAATACTGGGGAGTGGGATATTGCTGTGACAGGCTTGGCCATGCTATGAGTTACCAGAATAAGGACTTTGGAACTGTGGATTAGAAAAGCAGTTGAATGTTTTAAGTGAGGCTTAATTGGCCGTAGTAACAGGAGCATGGAATACATTCCCGAGTGATATTTGAGCTATAGGGACACAGCTTGATCACTTTCAGAAGGGAACAAGCTTAGAATGCTTACGGACTATTCCTTTAATATTTTGATGGAGAATGTAGTTGATTTTCATCTTGGTCCCCCAAAAATCTGCTAGAGGTTTAATTCAAGTGTTTTTGATTAAGGGTATTTAGGAAATTTTAAGATAGTCTGGTGTTGAGTTCCTCATATGGTGATTAGTGGAAACTCTTATAAAAATCTATAATGAAATGCTAGGTGAGCATAGTAAAATACAAAAAGAACAGTTTGAGAAGAAAAGGAGTACCAGGAAGGGCATGGAGCTAATGCCAGACCTTAACGAGATAAAAATGTAAAGAAGAGCATGATGCTAAGTGAAATGAAGGGGGTGACAACTTCAGGGCATTAACCCACGGAGCTCATTTTCCAACTTGTAAAATGAAGTAAATAAGCTTTCAGTGATGGAAATCTTCAAATATAGAAATCTGGTGAATATCCAGGTGGTGTCTGTGCCTTTAATCTTAGTACTCGGGTGGCAGAGGCATGTGAATCTTTGTGACTTTGAGGACAGAATGGTTGACAGAGCAAGTTCCAGGATAGTCTCCAGAGCTACACAGAGAAACCCTCTATATGAAACAAAAAAAGTGAAAATGAAAGGATGGTGAAAAATGTATTTAAACAAGGGGTCCAAGTTCTAACCCCAAGGAGACATTGTAAGATTTAGCCATGTGGTTCTGGCTTTGAGTAAAGACAGAATAAAGGGCTTGTGGAATCACCCTCTGTGGCTAAGTAAAGCCACTTGGCCAGGTATTTGTCCGAGTTATCCCTGCATTAAGGACAAATGATGCTATTGAGTGAAGCTATTGGAGATGCCAATATGTTGGAGATGCCAGTATTCATGGGATACCTGCCAAGATACCTGCAGCCTGGGTGTTGCAGCAGCTCAAGAGAGAAAAGTTTGTTACAGTCAACAAAACAGAAAGGAATTGGAGATCTGAAGAAAGCTTTATCATTAGACATGATGCTGTGAAAATTGAAGTTTTCCCTGCAGGACTTTGTCTTTCTTTGGGTCAATATTTCCTCATTTTCCTCCCTTTCCTCCCTTGTAAAATGGCAGTATATATTCTGTGCCATTGTAAATTGGAAGTATGTGATCTGCTTTTTCAGTTTAGTTTAACAAGGTCTTACACTTAAGAGACTGTCATGAGTCTCAGAAAACACTTTAAACTTTGAACATTTATGCAGGGCTGATACTGTGATTGAGTATGAGGACTTTTGAAGTTTGATTGAATTAATTTTACATTATGATATGTCTATAAGTCCCAGATACTGCTATGTTTGAGTGAGAATGACCACCATAGGCTCATACAATAGTATGCATGTTCTCCAGGGAAAGGCATGATTTGAAAGTAATATGTGTTGTGTTCTTATTGGACCACATGTGACCTTGCTGGAGGAAGAGTGTCATTGAGGTTAGGCTAAATGGGTTATCAAAAGTTCAAGCAGTTCCAATGTCTCTCTCTTACTTCTTCTGGAACACCCTGCCACTTCTCCAGAATCATACCTTCCTATGTGCTGCAGGGCCCATTGTTATTACAATAATGGGCTAAACCACCGATAGTGTAAGTGACTCCCAATTAAATGCTTTCATCAAAAACAGTTGTCATGTTCATGCTGTCACTTCACAGCAATAGAACCCTGACGAAGAATACATTCCTAGATCACAAATTCAGCTATACAATGCTATTTTGCTTTTGCTCTTAGACTGTATCTTCATACAGAGTCAAGAATGTACAATTCTCTCAGGATATATGCTGTCTGAATAAAGAAATGCTTCCATTAAGGAAGTTGTACTTCTCATGCACCAAAAAATGTCCTTCAGTTTAAGTTCAGCACATCAACAATTAACATAAGTATTTGGAAAAAATGACATTTGCTTTGTCCACAAAAATTTATCCCTATGATATCTAGAATATCAACGTCTATTAATTTGCATGCACTTTATTCTCATCCCTACTTACCTGTTTATTAGAAGCTGAAAAATCCAAACTACTCATCAATTTTTAATAGCTCAGAACAAAAATATAGATTTTAAGCATTATATTTTAAGGTATTTGACTTAATCTACATTCCTAGAACATTAGATTTGACTTGGGATGGAGAGGACATGCCAAAGTGTTTCAAGTGAGGCTAACACTGGCGCTGAAGGAAGAAATGAAGGGGGTATAGCTAATTTTAATAAAATTATATTTAAATAAAGATTATTCTTATGTTTATATGGTATGCATAAATGTCTATCCACAATTTTATGTGTGAGTGATTTTTTTGTGTCAGTGTGAGCACACATGCATCTCTGCATGCATTTTCAGCTCAGATGTCAATCATCAGGTGTTTTTCTTCATTTCCCTCTCTTTATGGTAGTCTTTTTGTACTTCCAACTACATATTCCAACCTAGATGACATGAAAACCCTGTGTAATCCGAATCCATTCCTTATTTTTTGGTAGGTGTGATTGCTGAAAACACTACCCCAACTTTGGATATATCCTTGGGACCTACACTCTTATCCTAATTATTTTCCAATAAGTGCTATATTCTACAAGTTATTCCTCATAATCTTAACCATATTTTATTAATCAACAACAAGAGTCTGAACAACTGTCTTGGTCAGAAACAAGCCATGTGCCGGGAGGACAAGATTATGGACTGACTGATCATGTTTTAAATTTAACTTGTACAAAGATTGGACATATGGATACCAACATTATGTGCAATATTATGTGTAGAATAAGTTACAAAATCCTTTTGTGTTTCATTGAACATTCATTGCAAACTATCAAATCTGTAACCATCTGTAAGAATCATACATGTGTGGTTTATGGAAGACAGTCCATGTACAATCCAGGGTTCATAATATCATGACAATCTTTAAATTCTAATTACATATTTTATGCCTTTAGTTTGCTTCCAGGTTCTTTCTAGTTTGGAAAAAGGGAAGATACTCAATTTCAGCAATTTTTTCTGCACATAAAAGCATACCTGTCTCATTGGAAACTTCATTCTCTGGGCACCAGACACAATCAAAGCAGCAGTCTGGTGTATGTTCCTGATGAAATTTCCTGAATCCAGGAGTGCATGTCACACTGCATGTAGAAGTGGGAACCTGAAGCAAATGAAAAATGAGTTGGTAGCAAAGACAGTTTACAGGCATTCTTCTGCTATCATGTATTATTATCAAAATCAGTTATCTGAGCATTTTCTGTAAGCCTTCAATGAAAATGAATGCCATACAATATTTAGTACATTGTATAATATTCCGTGTATAAAGTTTTGGTTGTAGAGAATAGAAATTGTTCATTCCTCAATTGAAATGATCCAACAGGAATAGTGAAGAGTTTTGCGTTGCTCTGGAAGGGTTTAAGCATCAAAATCAAGAATATTGAGTGAGTGGGAGTGAAAGTAGTGTGGAACAATAAAGAGTTACAGAATGAGTATGAACAAAGCAGATTGTAGGAGAATGTCACAAACTTAAAATTCACAAAGAATCATAAAATTTCATGGTGTATACCTGGTTACAAAATTTCTAATAGTCTAAAACTTTTATTTTTATTTTTATTTTGTATATGAGTTTTCTGTAGTATGTGTGAATTGGAATGTAACTTTAGTTGTCCATGGAATCAAAAGGCATTGGATCTTACTTATAGGAAGTGGTGAGGCATTTAAAACAAGTGCTATGTGACCTGAGTTTGGGACCTTCACAAGAGCAGTGATTTTTGTTAGCCACCAAACCATCATCTTGACGACACAAAATTTTATAACACAGATGTACTGAAAAGAATGAAAATTTTGGTGTACACACCGATGTTGCTCCCGTGGCCCACTCTAAGTCTTCAGAAATATGCAGTTGTTGGCTCTGTGGGAAATAATGTGAGTAGTCTCCTATTTTCACCTTTAATCCAAAGCCTTGTGGGAAATTCCAAATGTTATAAATGTCATAATTTCCACACAATTTTTGTCTCAGATTCATGTCAACCAGCTCTCCAACAGGGTTAGTAAATACCCTCTTCTTCAGCAAAGAAGCCATCTAAGTGAGATTCATCATTATATGATTACATATGCCCACCCAGTAAAGCAAAGCGACATTGTGAATGACCCCTAATTTTTAATTTCTTCAAGAAAAGGTAACTATTGAAGATAGTGGAAATAGAAGAAATGAATAAAATAATGAGTAACATGGTGAAAGACATGAGCATTTATTACTTGCATGAAAAATTTCAAAATGGATGATTTTTACATAAGTGTGCCTATGTCCCTGTATGTGTGTGTGTGTGTGTATGTGTGCATGTGTGTGTAAGAAATTATTTTTAAAAAGAGAGAAGTCATGAAATAAAGGAGTGAGAACGTGGAAGTTTTTGAAGGGAAGAGAAGTTGTAGATATCATATAAGTATAGTAAACACATATGAAATAAAAAATAACAACATGCAGTCTTTGCTTTGTCAAGATACATATTTGATAATTCATATAAATAATTGACATTGATCATATATTTTAATTCTTGAGAAAGAAATACTCTTCTAATTCTTGATGAGGATTTTATAATAAATTTTTTATTATTTCCAATATTGATCTAATTTGGAAAATGCTGAAAAACATTCTAGTAAAAATAACTGACCTTCATAAAAAATGTTTTAATCCACTCAATGGTAATTTATAAAGTCTATTTATCCACATAAAAGATTGAGGAATAGAAATCTTTGTACTTAGAGAATTATCTCTGACAAATACACATGAATGATGGGTAATGTCCTTCTGCATAGATGTTTCTCTTTCTGGTTGATGAATAAAACACTGATTGGCCAGAAGCCAGACAGAGAGTATAGGCGGGGCTACCAGACAAGGAGAATTCCGGGGAGAGTTTACAGAGAGAAGGCTTGAGAGAGCTGCCATTTAGCGACTGGGAATCTAGGCTGTGCTGGCAATGTCTGGTAAGATAAGGCTATGTAGAAATACATAGATTAATAGTTATGTCTTAATAATTGAGACTGAGCTATCCAGTAAGAAGCCTGAGCCATTGGCAAGACTTTTTAAATACTTAATATAAGTCTTTGTGTGTTTATTTGTGGCAAAGTGGCTGAGGGTCCAGGTGTGACAAGAAGCCCCAACTTCCTATGAATACTCATATGGCCATTTAAAAATACCATGACTAAAGCATGATGAAAAGTAAGAGGCTTTACCTGATGACAGTCATGGAATATTCCTGTATGGTTGGCTATATGCTGGGACTCCACTTGTTGGAAAATGATTTCATGGTAGCTGTGGGCCACAGCATACACAGCATTGTATAAATTGTAACCTTCTTCACTCAAGACCATGTCAAATTTGTGTTGTGATAACCATTCCAATGTAGTGTTGATTGAACCATGATTCATTGAGCTATAATTGGTTTCAGAGACTGAACAATTAAAAAAATTCCACTTTGTTCTCATCTGAGAAATGTCTACTGGATATTTGGAAGTGTTCAGTGTTCGCACAAAATTCCTAAATTTAGGAACCTTAGCATGGTGGTGTATAAAAGTGACAGTCCCATGGAAGAGGTCAAGGCTGAAATCTCTCTTACTTGTGATGACATCCCATTGTGAGGTGGTGACCCAGATTCTCTGTACACCTAAATATGCCCATCTTCTGAAGCTGACTTCTAGGGTAGAGTTCATTTCACCATAAATGACAACAACCTTTGCTGATGATGTCATGATTTGGTTGTCATATATTACAGCTCCTGCCATGTATAACTGCATGCTATCTGGGATCACATTCACAAAAGCTAAACAAATTCCTTTCCTTTGCATTTCTGCTCTCAAGTCTGAGAGGAACTGGATTCCTTGGTCATCATCTGAGATAACCAACCCTATCCAGGTCCATGTAAAATAAAGCATCAAAGAGACCATGGCATGTGGCAAACATGTATCTTTGTGTGCTACCTGGCAGACATAGGGAAACAGGACATTGTCACTCAGGATAGGATGAAATGGTCCAAAGAAAATCTGAAGGATGAAGAACAGAGGAAGCAATGTGAGGAATATGATTGGCAAAAGGTCATTCTTAGATATAAGTTCTGTTACTCACCTTTCATAACTCCAACAAATGACAATAAGATAACCCTATAAATGGTGTATATTGGTTCTTTGTATTCTAGACTGTTTCTGATGATTCTGAATGTTCAACAAAATTTTGCATGTTTCCCAAACCCATCTATTCTTGTGATACAAAGAAATGTTGGTGATATGTGATTATTCCACTTATTAATCCTTTAAAATATGTAGGCCAGCACACACAAACACATGTTGCATGATAATTTTCTGTAGGAACTTAGATTGGCATAGACAAACTTTTATCTCTGCTTTTATCTCACAGTCTCACCTGTGGATATGTGGTGTAGGTTGTCAGCTTTACAGATGTAGTCCATGATGGTCCTGTAAGTGCAACATCACATGAAGATGTTCCACAGTCATAATTAGGTGGCTTTGAGAAGCTGTTTTTGGGTGAGTATAGGAAATCGATTGTATTCATTGTTTTAAAACACATGCCAGAAATGATGGAAAAAATCAAAGACATGTTGGGTAAAATATAAGGATTCCTGTTAATCTCATCAGTAGCAAACAACAATACCAGGAAAAACTCATATTTTCTTGTTGGTATTCTAAAAAAAGACACATGAGTATCAAGGATGATATTATAAATACAAATTTTTCAAAGCAATTGAAGTAAACTTTTCTATGCCCCCTCTAAATTTCTGTCATAATTCTATCATTCCCAATTAAGGCAATGGAAAGACATATTTAAAGTTGAAAACATTTTCAGAAGTCATCTAAATAGATCATTCTAACACAAGATTTTTACATTTGTGAAAATATGTAAAGAGCCTATATGATCCCTGAATATTATCCATGAAATATAATACAGCACTACACATTTGGTGTTCTATATATTTGTTTTGGGATTGTCATTATAGAGGAACCCAAAAAATTACTTGAGCGGAATTTCCTGAGATCTGGGTTCTGTGCACTGGGGAACCCATCCTGGTGGACTAGCCCATCCAGAATCTGCCAAGATCCTAGCTCCATATCTACCCATGGAAGGAGGTAAGGTTAGGCCTGTTTCCAGCCCTCCTTCCAATGCCTTGCTGGAGTGTCTAATGCCTGGGGAATGCTCATTGGGGAACTCCTGGTGGACAAGCACATTCAGAGTCTGCCCACATCCTAATCCTGCCTCCACCCAAGGGAGGAAGTAAGCATGGGCCTGTTTCTGGCCCACCTTCTCCTTGAGTCTTGGTACATGCGCATGGGAAAACAGTCCTGTCAGAACTGCCCATCCAGGGTCTGCCAACATCCTGGTACTAGTCCCGCCTTCTCCCATGGTAAGAGGAGCACTATCAGAGTATTGGACCTGTTTATACCCACTGGACCTGTTTATACCCACTAGATGAGAAGCAGGAGTGGATGGTACTCCACACATACCCACTGGAAGAAGGGATGAGAAGAAGAAAATGTAAAAACAGGAGCAGATGGGGAAGGGAAGGGAAGTGGGAGTTGGGAAAAAGAGAGGGGAAGACAAGGAGGAGAAAGGAGGTCATGGGGGAGCAAGAAGGTTGAGTTGGGGAAAGAAAAGGGGGAGAACAGGATGAAAAATACCATAATAGTGGGAGTTATTACAGGTTTGAAGAAAGATCTGGCACCAGTGAGACCTCTAGCGATCTATAAAGATGACACCAACTGGCAAACTAAGCAATAGTGGAGAGACTACATTAAAAGCCCATCCCTGATAATGAACTTGAAGACTACCTTATATGCCATCCTAGAACCTTCATCCAGTGACTGATGGAAGCAGAGGCAATCACCCACAGCTAAACACTGAACTGAACCCCTGGAACTCAGTGACAGAAAGAGAGGAGCGATGAGCAAATGGGCAAATAATGGGCTGGAGAAAGCAGCAGCAACAGCTGACCTGAACAAGGAGGAGCTCTTGGACCCCAGACAGACAGCTGGGAGGCCAGCATGGGACTGATCCAGACCCCCTGAATGTGAGAGTCAGTGAAGAGGCCTGGGCAACCTATGGGGCCCTGGGCAGTAGATCAGTATTTATCCCTGGAATACAAATGGAATTCATATGTTCATAACACAAGGAGGGATGCTCTCTCAGCCTGAACTCTTGGGGGAGGTCCTGGACCCTGACGTGAATGAAATGACAGACTCTGGATATCCCCTATGTGGAAGGGAGTGGGGATATGGTGGTAAGCTGGATGGGATTATGTGGGGGTGCGGGAGGAGGGGAGAGAGAGGGAGCTGGGATTGATATGTGAAACAAGATCTTTTCCAAAAAAATATAATAAAAATAATGAGCAAAAAGAACAAATATAAAAACACATTCAACAACAGAAAAAACAATATGACACCAGCAGAGTCTAGGGACTTTATACCAGCAAGAGCTGAACAGATTAAGCAGAAGAGAATGACCTTAAAAACAACTTCATGAAAATGGTACAGGCCCTCAAAGAGGGTATAAGAAAATCCTTTAAAGAAATGGAAGAAAAAGCAAACCTAAAAATACAAAAATCAACATATCTCTTAAAGAAAGCCAAGAGAAAACAAACAAACAAACATGAAGGCAACAATTCAAATAGTTCAAGACTGGAAAACTGAATTAGAGACAATAAAGAAAACACAAACCGAGAGAATTCTGGATATTGAAAAGCTGGGTAAATGATCAGAAACTACAAAAGCAAACATAACCAACAGATTGCTAGAGATGGAAGAGAGAATCTCAGGCACTGAAGACACACTAGGAGAAATAGATTCATCGACCAAAGAAAATCGTAAGTCCAACAAATACCTGACACAAAATATCCAGAAAATATGTGGCACCATGTAGACTAAACCTAAGAATAATAGGTATAGAAGAAGGTGAAGAAATCCAATGCAAAAGTGCAGAAAGCATATTCAACAAAATCATAGAATTAACCTATCACACTCTAAAGAAACACATGCCAATTAAAGCAGAAGAAGCTTACAGAGCATATAATAGAGTGGACCACAAAAAAGGCTCTGGATACATAATAATAAAAACACAAAACATACAGTATAAAGAAACAATATTAAGAGCAGCAAAGGGAAAATGGCCAAGAAACATATGAAGGAAACCTATCACAATAATACCTGACTTATCCATAGAAATTCTGAAAGCCAGAAGTTCCTCCATAGATATTCTACAAACCCTAAGATACCATAGATGTCAGACCAGACTACTATACCCAGCAAATCTTTCAATAACTTTAGATGGAGAAAAAAGATATTCCATGAGAAAATCAGATTTAAACAATTCATATCCACTAATCCAGCCCTAAGGAAAGTTCAGGAAGAAAAACTCCAACACAATAAAGTTAACTACAACCAGAAAAATGTAGGCAATAGATAATCCAACTTTAACAACAGCCAAAAGAAAAAATGGATGGAAATCCACATAAAATTCTACCACCAACAAACACTCCAAAACAAACAAGAATGAGCAATCAACGGTCATTAATATCCCTCAATATTAATGGTCTTAACTTGCCTACAAAAGGACACAGTATAACGGAATGGATAGTAAGACAGAATTCATCCTAATCCATCCTTCTACTGCATACAAGAAACACACCTCAACTTCACAGACAGACAGAACCTCAGAGTTAAGAGTTGGGATAACATTTCCCAACTAAATGTACCCAAGAAACAAGCTGGTGTAGCAATCCTAATATCTAACAAATTAGACTTTAAACTTAAATCAATCAAAAGAGGTGAAGGAGGTCGTTTCAAATCATCACAGGAGAACTCCATCAAGATGAAGTCTCAATTCTGAACATCTGTGCCTCAAGTACAAAGGCATCCACATTCATAAAAGAAACATTACTAAAACTCAAATCACACAAAATCTCTCACACTTATAGTGAGAGACTTCTACATGCCACTCTCACCACTAGACAGGACCACCAGACAGAAACTTAGCAAATAATCAAAGGAACTAATATAAGTTAGGATCCAATTAGGCTTAACAGACATCTATAGAACATTCCATTCAAACACAAAAGAATATACTTTCTTCTCAACACCACATGGAACCTTCTCTAAAATCTACCATATTCTCAGCAATATAGCAAACATCAATGGGCAAATAATATCATGTATGTTATCAGTCCACCATGCTTTAATTTTATAATTCAACAACAACACAGACTGCAGAAAACCTACAAACTCACGGAATTTGAACAATGCTCACTCGCATTGGGCAGTATATCAGTACTCATCCCGAGTATACACATGGACTTTGGACTCCCATCCAACAATGTGAGATGCACTCTCATCCTGAACTCTTGGGGGCGGGTCTAGGCCCTGTCCTGGATGAAATGACAGACTATGGACACCCCCATGGAGGGCCTCACCCTCCCTGTGGAAATGAGGGGATAATGGAGGGGGGTTGGGGAGAGGGCACAGGAGGGGGGAGGGAAAGGGAGAGGGACCTGGAACTGACCTGTGAAGCAGCATCTAAAATTAAATATAAATAAATAAATGTGGAACTTCCAGAAAACTTTATTGCTAAATTTATACATAAGACATTGGAAATTTAATTTTCATTCAAAACAAACAAAACGAAGCAAAATCCTTCTATCCCTCTATATGGTCACTGTAGGTGTGATCAAGCAAATTCAACATGAGAATTTTCATGTAAATAAGTCTGAAGCATTTTTACACAACAATTATTTATAATACCTTTTGAATTTCAGGTAGTATTTGGAACGTTGGAAGATTGAGGATAAAAAAGATAAGAGGATCCTGGGCAAAGAGTACATGCTTGCAGTTGTAGCTTCTTGGGAAGCCTGAAGAAGGGTTACTTGGGCCCAGGAAGCTGAGCCATCCTGGGAAACAAGGTTGTGCTAGGTATTTTTGGTTAATGTGACTTAAGCTAGGGAAGATACAATGTAAATCAAGAAAGTCTGTCTATGGGAAAGGCAGGAAGACAAGTCTGTAGGACATTTTCTTGGTTAATGTTTGACATGGGATGGCCCAGATCACAGTAAGCAGTGACACTATTGGTAGGTGACCCTTGGTTGGTGTAAGAAAGCACTCAGAGCCAGTCAAGGGGACAAAGCAGGCAGGGAGCTTCATGGCCTCCATAGCAGCCCCAGCCCTGACTGCCTTCCAATGATACACAGTGATGTGAAAGCAGAAACGGATGTAAGCCTTTCGTGTCCCCGAAAATAAGTAGGAATTAATGACAAACACATAGAAATGTCAGCCACCTGCCTTCACCAGCTAATAATGCATATTTGTCTTGCAGTTTACACTGCATGAAATATGTACATATGCAAATCAAGTGTTCATCAATTGTTTTGTTTCAAATGTAAAAATGGAAATGTTAATTATGTTTATCATTAAACACTATATTTGTAAATAAATATGTGAAATTCTCCAAATGTTAGAAATTGTATATACATACAATAAATAAATATATATTTATTTAAATATATTTAGCAATAAAATGTAGGAACGTAACTTTTAAAAAGAATTTCTATTATGAAGTAGAATATCAAAGATGAGACAATAGAAATGTAAACCCTGCTGACCTGACAGTTAAAAATAATACGAAGCCACCATCAGAATAAAAGTGTGCATAGTGCACTGGGGCTAACAGTTATAATACACTCTGTAAAATTCCTACAAAATGCATATGAAAGGGGGTGCAGAACAATAGTCAGCCAACAGAAAGCACAGTAAGCTTCAATACATAGATTTAAAAACAGGGCCCAGACATGTTATATAGCAGCAAATTTGAGGAATTTCAACACTGCTCTCTCTGCTCTGCAGTCTCCAGTTTTAACATCTGACAATCAGGATCTGAGAACTTTGTAGACAAATTGCATGTCCTTTTCCAAGTACACGTCAGTTCTCCTGCATTTCTCTTAATGTTGTATTTACTCACTCATTAAAAAAAATTATCACCTATCTGATCATGCTGCAAATCTGTGATTGGGCATCTTCACAAGTGAAGCAAAATTAAAATGTTTTGACATAGCATCTGACAGTTGGCAGTTTTATTTTTTCCATACTAATTGTCAACTCCTGAATGTCATTAAGGACTGGCATAGAGATTATTTTGAATGCAGTATATGTGTCTTCACAAATATGTATGTAATATTTGGCATGTAATAACAGATATTAGTCACACACCCTGTCTTTTTATGAATAAAAATGTGCTTTATTGTTAGAGACAAAAATTAAGTAACACCTTTATGAAAGCCTTTAGAAACACATGCTACTCTAGGAAACCTTTGAATACACTTGAAGAGACACTGTAATGTAGGCTTGTCACACTGAACTTACTCCATGTGTGTGTACTCTGGTTTCATGTCAGGTCATGAGACCCTCTACAATAAAAATTTTCAACATAGGGATATCCATGAGGAGACATGAAAGAGAAACCTGTCTCTCTAACCTTCTAGATTAGTGAATTGGAATCTAATGTAAGAAAACCACATTACAATGAAATGTATTAGAAAATACTAAAATAATGATCAATAAAGGAGAAAATTTTCACTAGTTGCTAATGTTACAGAGGGAAGTCAGGACAGAAACCCACAGTTTCTCTGCACTGCCACAGACTTCTAATTCATAATGTATGTGCAGGAAATGAATGTAATGACATACCTGAAATCAATTAGAGTATTATAAAAACCTTCCTCTATGGGGTATGGAATTGTGAAAAGAATAAAACCACAGTCAGTCCGCAACTCTCCATCATCCTCTTCATTGTGCTTTATCCTCCAAAAGCAGCTGTCTTCAGCCAAACTGCACAAGATGAGAGAAAACTTCAGGAGCAAGAAGGAAATAATGAAAACACTCAGCTTCTTCATGTCTTCCAAGATGCAAGATTGAGCAGAGGTGAATCCTATTTCTCATGCAACAGACAGCTCATGCATTTCAGTCTACATGCCTGTTTTATTGATATTGGTGACTGAGGAGTATATGTATACATCCCAATTATCTTTTGCCAATCTGTACTTTGTTTCCTGGATACATCTGGAAAATTCTGGCCTAAGGATCTGCCTCTGAGGTCTGCAACCTTTTCATCAACACAGGTAGGAAAACATGTTGTGAGGAGCATGGTCTCCAGCCTCAGGGGCCATGATTTCATTCACATCCATAGTGTAAATGCCCCAGGGACAATCTCCAGTTAAACAGCTTAGGCCCCATCCTCATTCAACACCCATGTGCATGAATACCATTGGCAATTATTTCAGTGGATTTCATCAGAACTTCCATAGTAGTGAGAGATGAGATGGTCATGAAGGACCTGTGTCATTCAGAGCTTGAGTTGAATCAAAGGACAATATGTCCTTGGTTGACCATTATAGGGAAGGGAACATAGCATTTAGCCAGGAGCAGAGCACTTTCTGTATTGTTCATATGCTAATGTGTGCTCTTTACATGTGCAGAATCTCATGAAACTAGCTTTGTGTCCTGCCCTCTGGAGAACCTGTCATTATGCCAAAATATAAAATTTATAAATTATTGTGACTCAACACTGACACAGTCAGTTCAATATTCATACCATTGCAGATGTTTACACTCTAACCAAGTTCTAAAACATTATTTCCCTGTCTGTTCTTCAGTTCCTATGTTTGGTGTCTTGTGAGGAAACATTTCTGCATCCAGAACTATGGTTTCATCAGACTTGTTCCTACTGTTTGGTATCTTATCTAATTTCCACATGTACTTTTTTCTTTTAAGACTTTGCCAATAACAAGAACTTTGGTTGATTGGAATGCAGAAATTTCATTTCCTAGTAGAGAGTCTGTGCATTAGTATCAATTATGTTTTTTCATGTATTATTACTGATAACAGAGAAATCATAATCATACAGGACATCAAATCACTGACCACCATTGTTATTTATGTAAGAATATATATCCTATATGTTTTTCACTCCTCTAATCATGCTATTTGTGTGATTTCCCTATCTTGTCTGTCCTAGATTATCTGGCAATTGATGTGGATGTGTCTATGGGATGTTGCGCTACACGTGTTGATTACATTTCTAGGTGTATTATAGAGGGCCATTTGGTGTCAATTGTAATTTTTGATCCAACCTTACACTAATTTCCAAAGTAGATAGATTTCATTACCAGTACAAAGGAGGAGATTCTTTCTCCTTGTATCCAAAACTACTTTGCTGGATTTATTTTTTAAATGTTTGATGTCTTCAATGTGTTGGGATGGAATCTCTTGTGTATTTAACTTGGGCTTTCTCTTTTAGTATAATTTTGATCTGTTTCATAAACTGTTCAAATAATGTGTTTCTCATTTTTAGTATCTTTTCCTCAATACCTTTGTAGACTTAGGTGGATTGAGCATTTTGGTGTCTGACATTTTTCTTTCTTCCTGCGTTATCGACGTTAATTGCAGGTGAAAGGAATGGGGATCAGACATTTCCCCTATCTAGAGGCTGTCTGTCCATGGCGTCCTGGCTGTGCAGACACTTTCTGATTGCAGTATCCTATGCAGCAGCTTTGAAACACCATTCTGAGCGATGGACAGCCATCCAGGATGCTACGGCCTGTATGTGTGCTTCTGGATTGGATTCATATAATATATTCAAGGTATTTCAGGCATGCCTATCAGAAATGCAATTTGAGTTTTTCCTATAGAATTAGAGGTAGAGTCCTATATTGTTTTGAAGCACAGGGATTTTATTATACTTTGTTTTCTATCTTGATGTCCAATTATAAAATGAGCTCTTAATTGGTATAGATAATAAAAGGCTGAAGTCAAATACAGAGGAAAATGCTGAGAGAGCAGAGAGAAGGAGCAAGCCACAGCATACCTTACCTCCCACATGTCATTGCAGAGAAGGGAGCGATTTCCTGTTTGTCCCTACTTATATCCTCTAACAGCCTGTCTGTACAGACCTCCAGACATCTAGGTTATCTAGTGGCAGTTTCGGCCCAACTATTGCACTTCCTGCCTGTACAGATCTCCAGAACTTTATGGTTAGCTAGTGGCTAGCTCCATCCTCTGACACTCAGATGGGCTTTATTTCTGTAAGAAAGATTACACCACACTTAAATATTCAAATCATTTGGTGAATGAGACAGTTATGCAGAACTTAAATTCTAGTTTTTCAAGTAAGAAAGAAACAGAAATCAGGGATTATGTAAAATAAGATTGTTTTTTTATTTATTCCTTGAAGAAATCCTTTTATTTATTTTTTTAGATTTTTTATTATTTTAATTTTAAATAGCTTGTTTACATGTCAATCCCAGTTCCCTCTCTCTCCCCTCCTCCGACACTCCCCCACCATCCCCCAGCAGCTTCCCCCCTATTGCCAATTCCTTCCACATAGGGGATATCTAGTGTCTGTCATTTCACTCAGGGTAGGGTCCAGGCACACCCCTAAGAGTCCAGGCTGAGAGAGCATCCCTCATTGTGTTATGGACACACGATGTCTGTTTGTATTCCATGGATAAACACTGATCCACTGCTCAGGGCCCCATAGGTTGCCCAGGCCTCCTCACTGACTCTCACATTCCGTGGGTCTGGATCAGTCCCATGCTGGCCTCCCAGCTGTTGGTCTGGGGTCCAAGAGCTCTCCCCTGTTCAGATCAGCTGTTGCTGCTGCTTTCTCCAGCCCATTATTTGCCCATTTGCTCATCGCTCCTCTCTTTCTGTCACTGAGTTCCAGGGGTTCAGTTCAGTATTTAGCTGTGGGTGTTTGCCTCTGCTTCCATCAGTCACTGGATGAAGGCTCCAGGATGGTTATAGACATCAAGTTCATTATCAGGAATGGGCATTTGAGGTGGTCTCTCCGCTATTGCTTAGCTTGCCAATTGGTGTCATCCCTTTAGATCACTAGAGGTAACACTGGTGCCTGATCTGTCTTCTAACCTATGATTCCCTCTTCCCCCTATTTTGCCCCCCCCCACTAACCTTCCTGTTCCCCCATGACCTATTCTCTCTTCCTCTTCTCCCCCTTTCTTCTTCCCAGATCCCACACCCCCCCACCCCTTGCCGTGTTCCCCATCTGTTCAGAGTATCTTGCCTCATTCCTCTTCTCTTGGGTACCATGCATGTATCTTATCCTGTTTCCCAGACTCTCTGTCAGTGGAAGTGCAGACGGGCACTATCCTGATCCATATCTAAAATCCATATATGAGTGAGTATATACCATGTTTGTCTTTTTGTGACTGGGTTACCTCACTCAGGATGGTTTCTTCCAGTGCTATCCATTTACCTGAGAATTTCAAGATTCCATTATTTTTTTCTGCTGAGTAATACTCCATTATGTAAATGTACCACATTTTCTCTATTCACTCTTCAGTTGAGGGGCATCTAGGTTGCTTCCAGGTTCTGGCTATTACAAATAATGCTATGAACATAGTGGAGCAGATGACCTTGTTGTATGAATTTGCCTCTTTTGGATATATGCCTAAGAGTGGGATTGCTGGGTCTTGTGGTAGATTGATTCCCTTTTTCCTGAGGAATCTCCATACTGATTTCCAAAGAGGCTGTATGAGTTGACACTCCCACCAGCAGTGGAGGAGTGTTCCCTTCTCTCCACATCCTCTCCAGCATAAATTCTCTTCGGTGTTTTTGATTTTAGCCATTCTGACAGGAGTAAGATGGTATCTCAAAGTTGTTTTGATTTCCATTCCATGATGGCTAGGATGTTGAGCACTTTCTTAAGTGTCTCTTGGCCATCTTAGCCTCCTCTATTGAGAATTCTCTATTAAGTTCTGTACCCCACCTTTTAATTGGATCCTTTGGTGTTTTGGAGACTTGCTTCTTGAGTTTTTTGTAAATTTTGGAGATTAGCCCTCTGTCAGATCTTTTCCCTTTCTGTGGACTGCCTTTGTGTCCTTTGCCTTACAGAAGCTTTTTAGTTTCAGGAGGTCCCATTTGTTAATTGTCGATCTCAGTGTCTGTGCCAATGGTGTTATGTTTAGGAAGTGGTCTCCTGTACTAATTCATTCAAAGGTGCCTCCTACTTTCTTTTCGAACAGGTTCATTGTGGCTGGATTTATGTTGAGGTCTTTGATCCATTTGGACTTAAGTTTTGTGCATGGCGATAGACATGGATCTATCCCCATTCTGCTACATGCCAGCATACAGTTATGCCAGCACCATTTGTTAAAGATGCATTCTTTTTTCCATTGTATAGTTTTAGCTTCTTTGTCAAAAATCAAGTGTCCATAGGTGTGTGGGTTAAAATCAGGGTTTTCAATTCAGTTCCATCGGTCCACCTTCCAATTTTTTGGGCCAATACCAAGCTGTTTTCAGGACTATAGCTCTATAAAGAGCTTGAAGTCACATATGGTGATGCCTCCTGAAGTTCCTTTATTGTATAGGGTTGCTTTGGCTGTTCTAGGCCTTTTGTTTTTCCATAAAAAGTTGATTATTGTTCTTTCCAGGTCTGTGAAGAATTGTGCTGGAATTTTGATAGAGATTGCATTGAAACTGTAGACTGCTTTTGTCAAGATTGCCTTTTTTATTATGTTGATCCTAGCAATCCAAGAGCATGGGAGATCTTTCCATTTTCTGGTATCCTCTTTGATTTCTTTCTTTTTTTATTATCATTTTTTATTTTAATTTTAAATAGCTTGTTTTACATGTCAATCCCAGTTCCCTCTCCCTCCCCTCTTCCCGCACTCCCCTCCCCCCACCCTATTGCCAAATCCTTCCACATAGGGAATATCTAGAGTCTATCATTTCACTCTGGGTAGGGTCCAGGCACTCCCCTAAGAGTCCAGGCTGAGAGAGCATCCCTCTTTGTGCTATAGGCACACGATGACTCTTTGTATTCCAGGGATAGACACTGATCCACAGCTCAGGGCCCCATAGGTTGCCCAGGCCTTCT